CAGTCAGAATGCCAATTGCACGCTCCCTCAAAACTTGCGACATCTTTGGCATTTTGCTGTGTGATAAAACTATTGTGGCCAGATTTCTGGATTCTTTGATGAATAGAAGGATCCAAAGATCAGTATTTATGTGAAATAAAAAGCTTTTGTAACATTACACACTATACCGTTAAAAAAATTAGAGTCAGTATAATTTTTATTTTTTTGGAAAAGAAATTATAGAAATGAACACTTTTATTTAGCAAGGATGCTTTAAATTGATCAAAAGTGACGATAAAGACATTTATAATGTTACAAAAGATTTCTATTTCAGATAAATGCTGTTCTTCTGAACTTTCTATTCATCAAAGAAACCTGAAAAAATTCTACTCGGCTGTTTTCAACATAATAATAAATGTTTTTTGAGCAGCAAATCAGAATTTCAGAATGATTTCTGAAGGATCGTGTGACTGGAGTAATGAAGCTAAAAATTTAGCTTTGAAATCACAATAAATTACATTTTAAAATATATTCAAATAGAAACTAGTTATTTTAAATAGCCTAGTAAAAATATTTCAAAATTTTACTGTTTTGCTGTACTTTGGATCAAATAAATGCAGGCTAGGTGAACAGAAGAGACCTCTTTAAAAAAAAAAGTTCAAAAACTTTTGACTGGTGTATAGGCAACTTTAATTGTTCTCTAATTTCTAGCTTTTAATTGACTTAGAAATCACATAACTGCTGGACAATAGCCAATAATAATGATTTGTTTATATACTACAAACACTTTGTTTATCACATAAGGCAGAATAGTTTCTATACTGTAAGAAATGCTATGTCAATTATCACTGCATTGTTCATATACTTTATTTATTACCTGGAGATGACTTGACAAACTCAAATAAACCATAGATTGTCGCAATCGTATTTTTAATGTCTTCAAGTTTCCAAACGTTTCTGTTTTCTGTGAAAACAACTGTTTTCATACAGCATAGCTGGAGGCTTTTGTCCACATTAGGAATTTCCTCGTACGACTTTCTGCGCGAGAGCACCCTCCGGCTACGAGTATGAATAAAACATACACTACACAGAGTGTTTAGCGCTCCGCGATGTTCATCTCGCCTTATTCGAGATGATCATCTCGCCTTATACTCGCCAAATAAAACATCAGATCATGCACAGACTATCCTGTCTCTTTGAATTTAAATCTATATTTATTCACACAACTCTTGAAAACCTCTATGCGAACACACTTGCCCGAAAAAGTGCGGGGGACGAATTTACGTGATATTAAAAGTGGGGGGGACACGTCCCCCGCGTAATCTACGCCCCTGCATTGTGGCATTCACAATCGGCCTACTTGAATCGGCCTTTACTTGCTATAATATTTCATACTTAAGCACTGACGGGTGTCATGCCTGCTTTTTATATGTATTTTTTTTTTATTATTTTTAAAATGTATTATTTGATTTATTTAGAGTCCTGGTCCTAGCACTCTTGGTGCCAGGGGTGAGAAAACATTCCCTTTGTAACAACTTAGTTCTTCACATTTTCTTAAAGCTTTAACAACTACAGAACTTGTTAGTCCAGTGGATTAGTTTTTGTTTGATGTGCAATTGGACTCAAATTCCAACATGTCATCTTCTTTAAGTAGATTTTGAAATCACCAGCTGTCAACTGGATTACCCCTCACCCTTTAAAGTAATCTTGAGAACAGTGATGTAATTTTGCCTTTTAGTTAGCTGTCATTCCGTTCCACAACTAGGCTAATACTAGCAGATCTATTTTTTTCCCCATTTAAAATCTTTTGCATACATTTTTACATTGTGGCATAAAATATGACAACAAAACAGACGAAAATAAGACAGACACTCGAAATGCATAGTTTGTGCACAGTTAGTGCAGTTTATTGATTTCATCACTCTGAGTTAGGATGTTTTTGACACAGTCTCGCTTTTAGACTGGGAGGATGAGCTGACAACTTTGCCATCCACCACCTCTTCCACAATGGTTACCACTTTGCGTGTAGTCGAGGATGTACTTGAGCTTGAGGTTGAGACACTGCAGAGGTACAAACAAATAATTACTCTATGGAAATGCCAGACAGATATCCATCTCACTTTAATTTGGTTTATTATAATAAACCACCACTGCTCATTGAAAA